ATATATATATATATTGACAAAAATCAAGGAATCTTTCGACACTTCTTCGAAAAGAAGAATGTTCTTTGATGCTTCACTTTCACTAAATAGCACGATAGGTAAGGAAGGAAGGGTGAAAAATGTATAACTCGCTTGCTCACAATATATACGTGGCGTTGCACCACAGGCTGCAATCACGGCCGTTATTGTGCGAGGTTGCTCTTTCGTGGTTCCCATACGCCACCAGGGGCAACCAGCTGCTCGAGTATGAAATTCTTCGGATCCGTCAGAGGCTGGATCAGCGGCGGGAGACAAGTGCACTCGTTCTCAGGTGGCCGCGCATTCCGCCAAGATAGCGGCGGCACGCCGTTTGAATAACTTTGGCCAAACTATTCGCGCCGGGCATTTCTCCTCCGCGCACGGCGTAATTATTCGAACGGATTCCATCGAGAGCCGAGAGTGATCCGGGAGCGGAGTTTAATCTTGGCCGGCTGCAAGGTCGCCGGCTGCTCGATCGTTCCACGATTCTGACGCACGAAGAGATCGTACGGTGATTTCGATCGGGTTGTTATTCGAGGGGCATACCTTTTGGGTGACGAGGGAAGCCGGGTTTGCGTCGCAGTTTTTTGTGAGAAAAGCACGGTAAAAGCGGTGGAAGATCCTTGAGTTTATGTACGCGGTGTGCGGGAAGTCGTTGGCTGTTTGGTGTAATTGTAGAATAAGATTAAGAATAGAAAGGATTATTATTTATGAATTGAATTATCTCCTAATTGAGAGGCGTAGATAATGCAATGCTCCAACGATAAAAGATTTTGAAACGCTTGAAGAATTTTAAATACGTTACTTGAGAGTTGTGTTATCTCGGCCAGTTTAGAAAGAGAGAAGGAAAAAAGTGATCCGAATTAGAATCGTGTTGCGTGAACATGGTGCATATGGTGATTAGATTAGAAACACGTGTTCGTTTGATTAAGAGCAATTTAAATTTAAACAACCTTGATAACCTTCTATGCTTAAGCCTAATAGATATAACAAATACTTATTACAAATTTAACGATTTGAGTAAATGTTCTTTTTTTTCTTTCTTTCTTTTTTTTCCCCCTATACAAATATTGCGATAAAACATGCCTGTCACTTGGAATTTCAAAGATATTTACAGAGGTTGATTAACTCTAGACACTTTACAACATCTCGACAAATATTG